GGGGGGGGCATAGAAGAGGAAGGTATGAATGCTAGGTTCGTAAAGGATAAGTATTTAGTTTAGAAGGTAATTCACCAAAGCAAAATAATATGGACAGACATAAACAACCTTGTAGAAGTTAGATACTGTGAGGAATGGTAGGATGATATCCAAAAATGTGCTTATTCTAAAACAAAGGAAAAGAAAAGTCAAAAGAACAAGGCAAAGAGAGAAAAGAAGAAGGAGATGCTTCATACAGTGCTTTGGTATACTCGTTTTTGTGCTGTGCTTAAAATACCTCCACATAATCTGGTTTTAGATGCTCATATTGTTTTTCTATAGTTTAGTTCTTTTAGACCTCTTCTGGCTGATTGGAACTTGAATTGTTAAACACATTTAGGCATGAGGACAAAGAACAAAAGAACCAGAATGAATTGTGTTAACCGTTAAATTGGTTTATATGATGGAAGTGGCTATGATGAATGAAGATATTGTAAACTTGAAAATGTGCTGTGATATAGCAAGTCCATGATTATCGTCGTTACTCAATAGTTATGAACTTCACATAACATGCATTTCCATTCTATTCTTGTTAGTGTGATGGAGTGATGCCAATTTTAAGTGAAATAAGCCTCCTCTAATATAACTTGTCCATGGTTCTATATTAATCCTCATTACTCAAGAGTTATGAACTTCACATAACATGCATTTCTTTTCTATGCTTGTTTATGTGATGGAGTAATGCAAATAGATTGGTAAAGTGAATTAAGTCTCTGTTGATATAACAAGTGCATGAGTTTACTCATTATTCAAGGGTTATGAGGTTCATTTGTGTTTCCTTTTCTTTTCTTTTTTCCTAGTTTATTGGTGTCGAGTAATACTTTGTGTGATCCTCTTGTAAGTTCATCTTATGTATGTATGCTAGGCCTGTAAAGAAGTTAGGCCAGCAAGAGATGAAGAACTTCCATCTGCTTTCGTGGAAGAGTATAGGTAAGCTTCTGTTGTAGCACATACATTTCTCGGTTTTAACATCTGTGGTTTTGCTTCCCTTTTTAGTTACACTCTACATTCTGCTTATAACCATTGAGATGTTGAATTTTTTCTATGTTGTTATGACAATGTGCAATTACTTCACCCAATTGAGCTTATCTTTGAACCATGCTCAACAAGACTTGCAAATGCAACCTCACTTTCTTGATGGCGCTCAAATACGTAGTTGTGAATGTAGTTTAACCTAGAGCTAATTTATATGCTATGACATTTGCATTTCTTGTGGAAGTGTTCTTTTCCTGCTTAATTGGAAGAAAAGCTGCATGATTTGGTCAGTGCTTACAGAAAACAGTCTAAAAATAAATTGTATATCTCCTTAATTACTGCTCCTCTCAATCAGTACAATTTCTTCTCTCAGCTTCAACATTACATTCTGCATCTTTTCTTTGGAAATATTCTTAGTAATCTGCATTTCAAGTGTTAATAATTTATCCTACATCATGATTCACGTGCATGTTTATTCAAGTAAGAATCAGACTCATAATACATTGGTTTACCTTTCCGCTCGACTTTATCTGTGAGGAACAAGTATCTCCAAAGTAATGGATAATGGCATCAATGTCAGACACTAAGATGGCAGTATGACACCTAAATTTGGTATTGTTGGGAGACTTTAAGAGTATAAAAAGATGAGATTCTGAGGGAGCAATAAATTCTTCAATAATTCCTAATGCTTAACATGCAGATTATGTTAATCATGTCTTTGTTTTATGTGAATAGGTCCCTTCTTAACATGGTCTGTTGTTCTTCTTCATTAGGGGCTTTGTTTCTGATCAATGGATTTGTTATTACCATTGCTTGCCAAATTCTCCTAGTCATGATATTTCTTGTGTAGGTCTGCCATGGATGCAGAAATTATGAAGTATGTGAGTGAAGCGTATCCAAAAGGAATCTGTTCAGTTTACTGTACCAAAGGAAAGGATGTGGAAGAGCCAGGATCTGACTTTGAACTCGTTGTGGTGATTTCAGCTGCTAGGCATAGTCCTCAGAATTTCTGGTGTGTTAGATTATCAAAACTCTAACTCTGAATTATATGTGCAACCCTCTCTTTGATTTTGATCATTTCTACGATACTTGTAAATTTGTGACCCTCACATCAGGACGTAGTGCATTTTCGAGAGTAATTTGTAACCCGTCTGAGATCATGTATTCCTGTTTCTGTATGTGTCCAATCCTCAAAGATGGACCAAAGGATATGCTGTTATGTGGTCTGAAGGTGTGAGTCCTTTGCAACATGAGTATTTGTTAAAAGGCAGAATAAAATGTGTGATGCATGTTAGTAATGATTGGGCAATTTTAAATAGGGTCTACCAGGAAAACCTATAAGGTGATGTCTCTGATGCCAAGGTGAGAAATATATTAAGGCCTGCTTTCTTCGTTGCTAACTTTGTCTTAACCCACCAATGTGCCCTCATTATGTGTCTTCGCTAAAGATCTGCCGTCAGTAAAGCTTGCCTTTTCAGTTAAAATTTGTAAAATAAAGTTCCCAATCCTTCTCATTATGAAGTTGCAATGACCATAGGCTTTTCTTCTAAGACGTCTTGTCCTCTTTTGGTTGTAGTCTCTCTGGATAGAAGCAGAGTTTTCATTTCTTGTTAACTCCCAGTGATTACTATGTCTCAATGTGTTGAATTTGCTAGAACACATGCCATTTACATGTTAAATCTATGGGTGCTCTTAAGATATCCGCTTCATTCACTTCTCAATTACAAAAGTGTCAATATATTCTAGGTTGGTTTACAAAAGTTGCTATAACCAAAGAATGGGGGATGTCTGTTGCCTATTCTTCATGTCGTCTCCATAGCACACTTGTCACTTGAGTCAATGATATCTTGTTATAGCACGTCTAACTCACTTGAGCCGACATACTGCATCTTCTGTAGCAATGGAAGCTGGCGATCAATATGGAATATTGAATTTAAGGATGAAATTCAATCTGTAGAAGTGAGAGGCAAGATGCAGGTATGCTTTCATTAATAATATGAGAATATAGTGTTTGCCTTTGGTTTCCTCATCTTTGTTTTTGGCTTTTCACCGATTTTTACGCATGAAGTTAGACATCAGTACTGATTTATTTTTCTATGCGGCCTAGTAGTCAATGAAGTAGGAGAAGATCCTGAGATCTCAGGTTCAGCTCCCAGCGGAGGCAGAAAAACACTAGGTGATTTCTTCCCATCAGCCTAAGTCTTGGTGGGCAGAGTTACCCGGTACCTGTGCTAGTGGGAGGTAACAGGTACCTGGTGGAATAGTCTGAGGTGCGTACAAGTTGGCCTGAACACCATCCAACAATTGTCATAAAAAAAGTTAAAATCTTAAAGATTGATGTTTAGTTATTGTTGGATTGTGCCGACCCCGGCTGTTGCTAGTTTAGGGGTGTTTCTTGCTTTTTTGTTGTATCAAAAGCTTCAGTATTCAAACTTGTATATCCTTTCCCTGCTCTCAATTCAGGTTGGCGCCCACTACTTTGAAGAGGGAAATGTGCAGTTAGATGCACAACATGAATGTAAGGACACAACATTAATTCAGGTAAGTGACTATTGCTTATCCATGAACTTCTCTTTTCTTTATTGTCGTCAGTATCTTTTTACTGGTCATAACTCATAAGGATACAGAAGCTGCTCTCTGCTGTAGGTTGCGCCATTTCTTTTGTTTGTTTCTGAACCAGTGTTAAGTGTTAACACAGCTGAACAGCGTGTAGAGACTTTACATTGATGCCTTGTGAGGTACTCGGAGAATGCAGTGAGAGTAATAATCTTTTGGCAATAAATCATGATAAATTTTCTCATAGAATTGTTAGGGCGGTCTCCAGATCAGCTATCACCTCCCTTCTGCACTGTGATACCATGGATGCTGATAATAGTTTCTAATAAGTAATTCGGTTAACTTTTGGCATTTATTGCTTTCAGATTACCATTTCTAGAGCAAAATTATAAGCATTACTATCCATCTTAGCAGTACAACAGACTCCGTCTATGATTTCTTTTCACAATTTTTCTTTCATTTACCATGATTAGCATGTTAAGAGTTAAGACAGAGACATAACAGTTTCTGGAAATCCTATCTTTTGCTTGTCTGTTGTTGGAAAGGGTTAAGCTAAAAAGAAAACCTTTTTTCTTGAATAATCTGATGGGGAATCATACAGGGAAAGAAAAAAAGTAGCATGGTCAAAGAGCCAGAAAGAATAAAAAGTAAGAACTGTTTCTGTAATTCCTGTTCGTTTGTGTAACTAGTGTAAAATTTGAAGGTCAAGCTAAAGCAAAAGTTTCTTCCTTGAACAATCTCATTAGACATCATATGGATTGCGAAGAAATAAAACCTTGATTACTATCTTGTGATTTCGGTTTACATTTTACAACAATTTAAGTTTGAATTATTCTGATTTTGTGGTGTCTTTCTTAGTCCCCAGATGATTCTGCGATTTCCTTGGTTAACATTATTCGCCACCATGAGACTGAGTATCTGGCTTCTCTTCAGGTTGTTACGTTGTTCCTACATCACCCCCACCCCTTTCCATCACATCATCTAACACTCCCCGTCCCCACTCTTCTACCGCTTTTCTATTAAGTCTCCGTTGCTGTTATTTTGTCCGAAGTTACTGATAGCCCTTTTACTGGCAGACATCTTACTTGAAATTGCCTGATACCACTTTCAAGGTACTCCTTTAACTTCAAAACCTCTAACATGTTCAAATATTTTACATGAAAATACACATGAGAGCTTATCGTTACAGTCTCACAGCAGTCACGTATTCTCACTATGTCTTAGCTGGGAGAAACATCTCTCACCACCTTGCACCATGAAAAGGAAGCAAATAAATAAATCTTTATCTTTTGCAGGACTTGCGAAGGAAGCTTCCTGTTACTCGGACATTGTTCCCATGGCACAACACTGTGCAATTTAGCCTTACAAGGGACATTGAAAAAGAACTTGGAATTGGAAAATAGAAACATTCCATGCCTTCTATACAAGCTGAACATGTATACACCATTATTGATATGACAAGCGAGGTTACTTGAGATTGCCATCTCCGGCTCTTTGTCGTCTTCTCCCTATTGTATTTCTTTGAGAGGGATCTTCCTTTTTTGCCTTTTTACCATGGTTGTTAATGTAGGAATTGTTCCTTAGTTGTTCATTTGCCAATTGGCCTGAGAGAGTTGTGTATGCTGTGAAGAGCTGTAAAGTAATGAATTGGAAGTCTTTCTTCTTGGTTTCTTCCCTTGGAATGACTGTGAACATGCCGGTAAAGAATGACTCTTGTTAATGTACTTTTTTCAAGCGTCTGAAAGGTCGAGGCGAGTCCAACCATCAAATTGTTCGAACTTTACTTTGATTTCATTTAAGCCGTCCCTTTAAGATTTTGTTGGATCATACAGATTTGTGCTTGGCATAATGATATGAGTTGGGCTTAAAGAAAGAAGTGGGGTTCACATCGCCAACCCCAACTTTGTTTGAGATTGAGGCGTTGTAGCAGTTGTTGTATACAGATTTGTGTTTCCTGGTAAGACTAACCTAATTATGCAACTTCCCTGTACATATGAACCTTTGACCGGTTAAAAAGTATCTGCATGAATATTAATAGCATGATCCGTTGTAATTGTATGATCAAACATTGGGTGAATAGTGTGACCGACAGTAACAACTTGTATCAATCAATTTACACCAAATGAAACCTTAAATTCGCGAAATTGTTCACTAATGATTAGAGATTGCAATAATAAAATACTTTTCGTTCGTGATGGTTGTTGGCTTTCACTTCTCTTTTCGTTGATGGCCGGCTGAAACTTTGAAAAGCGAAAATGTTGAAAGCTCCGTTACCGGGAATCAAACCCGGGTCTCCTGGGTGAAAGCCAGATATCCTAACCGCCGGACGATAACGGATTTTATATGCTTAGTTCTACTTAAACCTAGAAGTCGCAAGAAGATACCGCTCTTCAACAAAATTACAGATTTTAACTTATTGATATGATATAAATATTTCGTAGGATTATTCAGACAGTGATAGTTAAACAGTGATAAATTGTTAATAACACATTCCCTTGTAATCTCCATTGCCAGAGCTTTAAATTTTTATTATCCTAAATTCTTCCACTTCCATTATATCTTGTAATTGATTGGAGAAAGTAGGTTGAAAATATGAAAATCAACCATTACTTGTTTATAAGTTAACTATCTTCTTCCCCTTTTCCCTTGGAATATATATAGATATAATAAGCTTTTTACATTATGTTCATTCACAATATTGTTGTAGTTATTTTCTTCCAATATTTATTAATGGGGTTTTCATAATTTGATCTATAAGATAATCATCATAGCGGCACAACTAGTACAATGAACTTTTTAAAAATACAAGCCTTCAACAAAATCAATAAGTGGTTCAACACAACACAATCTTTTAAGTAAATTTGTAGTGTGAGGTTACAATATTCAGCATGAATCCATATATGACATGACAAAAGGTTCATGAAAACAATAACAACAACCCAGTATAATTCCACTAGTGAGGTCTGGGGAGGGTAGTTTGTACGCAGACCTTACCCCTACCCTAGGGTAGAGAGGTTGTTTCCGATAGACCCTCGGCTCCCTCCCTCCAAGAACTCCCCACCTTGCTTTTGGGTGACTCGAACTCACAACCTCTTGGTTGGAAGTGGAGAGTGCTCACCACTAGACAACCTACTCTTGTCAGACAAAAGGTCCATGACATTATTCATTATTAAAATTAAAAATAATTAGTGACATATTATATTTAAAAATATTCATAAAGGGCAACCATTAGTTAAAAATATGTAATTGAAGAAGAGCACATACTTTTTAAAAAATTATAATTAAGCTAGGAAATTAGAAATATTTTAAAGCAAAATAAAAATGGGAAACACGAAAAAAGAAAATAGAGACATAGTAGAAAGCATAGTGTAATACCAAAAAATCTGTTATAAATATATTATATTATGGATGTTCATTTAGTACTCCGTTGTAAATAAGCTTCCTGAAGAAGTTTATCCATATGAGACTCCGCTGTAAATATGTTTATCTATTTAGTACTCTATTGGAAATAAGCTTCCTGAAGAAACTTATCATTTTGGTACTCCGTTATGGATAAACATTACCCCCGATAGAAGATTATCTATATCCGGTACAGTAGCAGCTTATAAGCAACTTACAAGCAGCTTACACAGTAGCTTGCAGTAGCAGCTTACACAGCAGCTTGCAATAGTAGCTTACACAGCAATTTCCTTTCTTCTATAAATAGAGGAGTTTTCAGTTCATTATGTACATAAGTTTGAAGTTTGAATAATATATCAGTTTCTCTCTATACTTGTTTTTACTTTACAGTCTTTATTTTATAATACGTTATCAGTACAAGACTCTTCCATCTCGAGCAAATACTTTGAAAGTATCAGGGGTACGAACTTTCTTTTTCTAAATAATATCAAATCTTTCTAAACTTGAATTTGTAGCCCTGGATATATCGGGCAAAAGCTACATGTCTTGGGTGCTTGATGCTAAAATTCATCTTGATGTGATGGGTCTGGCAGACACCATCAAGGACAAAAATCAAGCATCAAACTAAGACTGTGCCAAAGCAATGATATTCCTACGCCATTACCTTTATGAAGGCTTGAAAATGGAATATCTCACTATTAAAGATCCAGTCGTACTGTGGAATAATTTAAAAGATAGATATGACCACCTAAAGATGATCATTCTTCTACAGGCACATTGTGATTGGACTCATATAAGGCTACAAGATTTTAAATCTATCAGTGAGTATAATTCTGTTATTTTCAGAATTATTTCCCAATTGAAACTATGTGGTAATAATATTACTGATCATGATATGTTGGAGAAAACTTTCACCACGTTTCATGCCTCGAATATGCTCATGCAGCAACAATATCAAGAGATGATATTCAAAAAGTATTCTAAACTTATGTCACATCTTCTTGTAGTCGAGCAACATAATGGGCTATTAATGAAAAATCATAAAAGCCGACCTACTGGTTCTTGTCCATTCCTTGAAGTGAATGAGACGAACTTTCACCAAGCTAAGCGTGGAAGAGGACGTGGCCCCAGTCGTGGTCATGGCCTTGACCGGGAAAGAAACTCTAATCATGGTAATAATAATGCACCAAAGAACCCTCCTCACCACCAGCAGTGAAAAAGGAAAGAATAAAAGCATAAAGCGGTGCAAGCAGCAAAGTCAGAAAATGCATGATATAGATGTGGAGGAAAAGGGAACTGGTCACGTACCTGCCGTATGCCAAAGCACCTGGTTGAGTTTTATCAAGCCTCCCTGAAGAAGAGAGAGAAAAATGTTGAAGCAAATTTTATTTCTGAAGATAATTTAGACTTCATACATTTGGATGTAACTGATTACTTTGCACTCCCGGAAGGAGAAACAATTCATGTGATCGGTGATAAATCTGTAGAGATGTAAATATTTTAATTTTTGTTGTTTGTAGTAGATAGTATGGTTATGTAATTGTTGTACATAAATAAAAGTTATGCTTTGATAATGATGTTTACTACCATATTTATTTTATTTATATTATTTTGAAGAATATGGATAATCCTCAAATTATGTTTGGATCAAAGACCAATCATGAAGATATTTGTGTAATTGATAGTGGAACAACTCATGCCATATTCAAAGATCAGAAATACTTTTCTTATTTGCATAAGGAAAAAGCAAATGTTTCTACAATTTCTGGTAATATAAGTTTGATTGAAGGCTCCGGAAGAGCTACTGTATTTCTGTCTAAGGGAACAAAACTTATTATCGACAATGCATTGTACTCCTCCAAGTCCCGAAGAAACTTGTTGAGTTTTATAGATATCCGCCGAAATGGGTATCATGTTGAGACAATAGATGAAATGAATGTGGAATATCTTTGTATTACAAAGAATATTTTTGGCCAGAAATGCATTGTAGAAAAGTTACCAACTTTATCTTCTGGCTTATACTATTCAAAGATTAGTACAGTTGAAGCACACTCTATCGTAAACCAGAAGTTTACTGATTCAAATACTTTTGTGCTTTGGCATGGCCGTTTGGGCCATCCTGGATCAATAATGATGAGACGAATTACTGAAAATTCGAGTGGGCATCCATTAAAGAACCTGAAGATTCTTACAAATAATGAATTTTCTTGTGATGCTTGTTATCAAGGCAAAATGATCACTAGACCATCACCAATGAAGGTTGGCATTGAGTCCCCTGCCTTTTTAGAACGTATACATGGGGATATATGTGGACCTATTCACCCACCAAGTGGGTTATTTAGGTATTTTATGGTCCTAATAGATGCATCTTCAAGATGGTCTCGTGTGTACCTACTATCATCTCGCAACCTGGCGTTTGAAAAGCTATTATCCCAAATAATTCGATTAAGGGCACAATTCCTAGATTATGCTATAAAGGTTATTCGCCTTGATAATGCTGGAGAATTCTCATCTCAAGCTTTTGATGATTATTGTCTATCAATTGGGATAAAAGTTGAACATCATGTACCTTATGTTCATACTCAAAATGGCCTTGCAGAGTCATTTATTAAATGCCTGGAATTGATAGCAAGACCACTACTTATGAAAATAAAATTGCCCACTACTATTTGGGGCCATGCTATCTTGCATGCAACATCACTTATCCATCTCAGACCGACACACTATAATAAATATTCTCTGTCACAATTAGTTTTTGGTCATGAGCCAGATATTGCCCATCTATGAATTTTTGGATGAGGTGTATATGTGCTAGTAGCACCACCACAGCGCAGTAAAATGGGCCTACAGAGAAGGTTAGAAATATATGTTGGGTTTGAATCACCCTCCATTATTCGCTATCTTGAACCATTGATGGGAGATTTATTTACTGCTCGATTTGCAGATTGTCGGTTTGATGAAATAAATTTCTCACAATTAGGGGGAGAGATAAAGAAAATCAAAAGATAAATTGTATGGAAATTTTCATCGTTATCTCATTTTGATCCACGTACCCCTATATGTAATCAAGAGGTCCAGAAGATCATCCATTTACAAAATATAGCAAATCAAATGCCAGACATATTTACTGCTTTGAATAGGATAACTAAATCACATATCCCTGTAGAGAATGTGCCTATCCGAATTGATGTCCCAGCACGACCATTTATGTGATGACCCAAAATGTCATCTTTAAATTTAATAATTAATTCTATATTCTAAAATCTCGTAAAGCACTATTTATCATTCTTCGACTTGCGTGCGCAGTCCGTAAAATTTTTCGAAAAGTTTTTATGTGAAGAATGGAGAAAATGTGAATATGAGCTTTAAAACTCAACTGAGTTGACTTTGGTCAA